AAAGTCTTCTTTCCCCATTGCTCTCATCTAAATCATCCTCCAAGTAATTCTCTCCCAATCCAATTTTTATGTAAATTTCATAATTAAAGCACAAATGCATTCTCATTGTAAAAGCAAAGTCTTTTGATACTCCATCCCCATAACAGTCCCATGCTAATATTTTCAATTTACGGGTGCCCTCCAGATGCTGCTACATCCTCCTAGGAAGTCCCATCTCCCCTCCCTGCCTTGACAATCACTGCTATCATCTGCACATCTCAACCAGTCAAGATTTTAAACAGCTTTAACTTCCTGTGGTCTATATTACAAAACCAGTATTTTTTCCAATATAAAATAGTGTTAGGATGTTTTGTCAAATGCCCTGATTCTTTTCTAGGGATTAACTAGCAGCCAATCAAGAAAGAGAATGCAAGTTAGTTTAAGGCATCCAAGGAAAAGGGAGGAGAGAGGAGGGACTCTTCTAGGGCAAGTGGGAGGATTAATGCTTTAGAGTCAGGAAAAGAAGTTGGCGTTTATATACCTTGCAAGAACAGAAAGTGTCAGCACTCACTATATGTTCAGACAAGTTTAAAATAGAGTAAAATGTTATAAATAACACTTAGGTATTAGATAATTTACAGATAGATTCATAATGAAAGCCTAAACCCTCACGAACTCTACAGTCAACATTAAGTCACCAGGAGCCCAAGTGTAGGCTATTCAGAAGGCCTCCTGAAGGGGAATTTCAGGGCATGGTCTCGTGTCCCCCAGGACATCGGAAGTGAGACTTCTAAATTGAGGTGAATCTAAAGTCAACTCAATCTTGATGCATCGTGGTGCTGACATGTGCTTTGGGCAAGCAGGAAATTCATTCTGAAGTAGAACAGAAAAGCCCCCCAAAAAACTAACTTGAGGTTTCTTAAGAAATAGATTTCACTCAGCAGAAAATGGTATCTTCCAAAGGTTTCTGCTGGCTGTTGGGGAGGGGTTGTTCCTTAAACATTTCTAAATAAGGAAACGATAAAACTGAAAATGCAAGACTACCCCGGGGGATAAAAAGCAGTTATTTCAGAGGAAGAGGACTCTAATTACAAGGACAAGAGAGAAGAAAAGGCAAGGTGGGGGCAATGTCTAGGAGGGGCAGGAACAACAGCAAGAACAAACTACTGACACAGGATAAGAAGTATCAGAAAACTACACAGAAGGAGTAACAGGCAGGTATGGAAGTCACACTGCTGTACTTGCTGTATCATCATGAATGCTTCTGGCTGCAAGTAACAGAAAACCCACAATGCATATTTTTTTATTTCTCTTTCTCATGTAACAAGAAGTGTGGAGATGGCTCTTGCTGGTGTTAGTTCAGCAGCTCAGTGATGTCAAGGTTTACATCTCTGTGATTCAAGCCCGTTCCTCATGGCTATAAGATGGATGCTGCACAGCCACCCCTAACTGGAAGGTGCCAGGAGAAAGGGGTCGGAAATAGGGGTTACCAGGCAGCCAACTCTCTACCACAATAACATGAAACCTGTGAGCAAACTGGGCTCTTCCAAAAGGGGAGAGCCTGTAAAATGGGTGGGTGCTGAGTTCCTCCAAATGGAACCTAAGCTCCATTTCTAGGGAAACATGTAAATTCCCACACCACATTAGTATTGGCAGAAGGACAAAACACCTATTCCAAACTTTTGTGTGTTTCATTGCATTGACCAAGAAACTAACTACAGAACCCTCTTTCCAAAAAAAGTTCAGACGTTCTAAATGTAGTGAGGAGAGAACGTGAATTGGAACTGCTATAAAACACAAACAAGTTCAAAAAATCGTATTTATTTACAAAGGAACAGAGGAAATAAAGTGGTAAGCGTACATATTTACATAGCAAGTGTAGGCAAAACTTATCAAGAAGATTCTTTAAATACTTCTACAATCTAGCATTTAACGGTCAAAATCAGCTTCTAATTCTTTTATCACCTCAGGAAGATTTTTCAGGAGGTTCAATCTATGATTCAAAGTATGACTATCTTAATGAACAAATTACAATTTTATATTCTTTGAAAATCTCCAAGTTGCTGGAGGCCAAGTAAACCAGATCACTACCAATTTTTTTTTTTTTTTTTTTTGCGGTACGCGGGCCTCTCACTGCTGTGGCCTCTCCCACTGCGGAGCACAGGCTCCGGACGCGCAGGCCCAGCAGCCACGGCCCACGGGCCCGGCAGCTCCGCAGCATGTGGGATCCTCCCAGACTGGGGCACAAACCCGCATCCCCTGCATCGGCAGACAGACTTCCAACCACTGCGCCACCAGGGGAGCCCCAGTCACTACCAATTTTTAAAAGATTCAAAGGCTCTTAAGTTAGAAAGTCATAACTGCTTTAAGAAATTGTTTTTAAAAATCCAAATGTACTATCATCTGTTGAGTAGTACAATACAGACTTAGTTTACATTTTCTTAATCCATTAAATGGCATCTGTCACCTTATAATGAGACCTTACTGTTCTCTAATGAGAAACATTAAATTATTTACTATTTAGCTCTTAGGAGAATCACTCAAAGTATACATTCAGCTTTTAATAACATTAACATACATGGGAAAAAAAAAAAGATCCATTTCCCTAACTACCATCAGTAGCCAGTTAACTGCTGGATCTTCTAAAACCAGAGACAGGTATTCTTAAGAGTCAAGATCCTTCAGACCTTTGCACTAATATACCTCAGTGTATAGACTACATTTAACTTCCTTAACAGGAGGTGAGATCCTTTCACATGTAGGGATAAGTATGCTGGCATACTTCTGCAATCCTGCCTTGTAGGTGCAGACACAAGCCCTGTAGCTCGTGGCTTGGGCTATACCTGCTGTGTTTGTCAGTTCTTCCTTTAGTTCAATGTCCTTCTGACTGTGAAATATGGTGTCCAAACTGAAATGAAGCAAATATTTAACACAGAAACTATTCTGATGTAAAAAAAAGAATGGCAACACAAACACCAAATAACCCTTTGAGGCTTAACTCATTCAACAGTAGGTAATTGTTTAAGAGTGGGTTACATGTCAGGCACTGTGCTCAGTCAGGGCTGAGGACATGAAAGTGAGCAGGACAGTCACAGCTGCACAGACTGAGCTCTCCATAGACTACAATTTGAGTCTCTATGTGCCCATCCCTAAGCAAGGTGCTATAAAATTTACAAAAAGAGATGGCTCTTTCTCTAAGATGCTTGTAGTTGGCTGGAAAGAAAATGTGAAAAGAACAGTGAACAGTGTAAGACAAACCAGTAATACCTCCTTGATCCACTATCACTGGGAAACTATGTGTTCCACCTAAGTGAATTTCTGAGATAACTGAAGGTTTTCAAATATCCTAGAATTTTAATAAACCAAGTTCTATTCACTGCTCTGCCACTTAGATGTCAGATGTCAGATCACTTAACCACTTTCATGCTCATTTTCCTCATGTGTAAAAGAGGGAATATTGGCAACCCAAGGACCATCAACGGATCATTGGATTGACAAGATGTGGTACACACACACACACACACACACACACACACACACACAGGAATATTACTCAGCCATAAAAAAGAATGAGATATTGCCATTTGCAGCAACATGGATGGACCTATAGCATATTATGCCTAGCAAAATAAGCCAGACAGAGAAACACAAATACTGTACGATATCACTTATATGTGGAATCTAAAAACAAAACAAAACAAAAAGAATGTATATGCAAGACAGAAACAGACTCACAGATATAGAAAACAAACTTGTGGTTACCAAAGGAGAGAGGGAAGTGGGGAGGGACAAATAGGGGTATGGGATTAACAAACTATTATATATAAAATAGATAAGCAACAAGGATATACTGTATAGCACAGGGAATTACAGCCACTATCTTGTAATAACCTATAATAGAGTATAAACTGCAAAAATACTGCATCACTATAGTGTACACCTGAAACTAATATAATACTGTAAATCAGCTATACTTCGATAGAAAAAAATATTGCTGCAAAGGTCAAATGAGATGAGTAAAAAGAGTACTTTGCCAGTTACAAATTTCTACGCAAATGTTGAACACTTAGACACATTTGTAATTTTAATTGTAACAGTTCTAAAGTAAACTATATACTTTTTTGCCTTCTTAGAGTTAAGAATATAATCTTCTGAGTCAACATGATAAGCATCAGCTATTGTACAGGCACAACGGTAACTTAGAAACCACACATGCGCTGAAACTGAGTAGAACGATTTTCCCCTGCTCTGTTGTGCTCTTTGAGTTGCCATCTGCTTTTTAGTTTTTCCATCTCCTTTGCTGTCTGACTGATGTTCGCCACTCTAAAGCCACCCACTGGACTGTATATACTGTCCATCTTTCACTCTCCTCTCATTCCTAAGGCTTATTCTTATTTACTACCTCAACTAGTTTATGAGATGGAAAACCACCCCCCAAATTTGGATTGTATCTAAACCAAAGAAAAGACACTTCAAGAAAGAAGCAATCGTAAGGGTCAAGGGTTGAAATATATTATGAGTTTTTTTAAGTGTCCAATGAGCGTGGTCATTGAAGTAATTATGACCTCATCTGCTTTGTTAAAAGCACAGTTAATGTCCTATTTATCTAAATAATCCAATCTTCATATTTGACCGGAAAAAATATTGGGAATATTCACATTTAAATATGGTTAGGTTGAATCTATCACACCATTTTTCTCTGGTCCTCTCGAAGTTTCAGACACCCAGTTCATACTGCAGACAGCAATGTCAAGTTAGTACGTGCCCAGGATAAACCATTATAAACTTATGCACAAGTATTTTTCAAATCAAGTGTCTCACCTCAAAAAAACTTCATAGTATGCTAAAAGCTAAAAAATGAACGTGAAAGCCAACACAAACAACAGAAACATTAGCAGCACACAGCATCAACAATTTTAAGCCCATTCTGCATAATTAATTCCTTCAAGGAACTTGAAGGCAAAGATACATCATGAACAATACGCATTAGAAAAACTGAAGATTTAAACTTATAATCTCACCCTTGAAGTTTCTGGACTAGAAAATGGAGAACACTCCCAGGAATTATTTTCTTTCTCAAAGGAATCTTCTTCTTGGAATGCAAATTTCTGCTTAAGTGCATGGGATATTAAAGACACTGGATCCCAAGGTGAGTCTTGTCTTTTCCTTTTATGAATGGGTCTGCCCCCAGGGGACCTTTAAAAAAAAATGGAATAATTTAAAACTTTGTGTAATTTAAGTTCCTTATTGACAAACACAGCAGAAATATAAGCATAATATATTACAATCTTCAAGAGATTGGAATGTTTTGCCTTGTAAAAAAAAACAAATCTGGAAGGCACAATGGATTAGTAATCAGAAAGCTGAGAGCCCATGTGAGGCTCTACCACAATCCGTTGTAACCTGGGATTTATCAAATATCATCTTTATTCTTTATTTTCTAATTTTCCAGTCGGTAGAAAAATTTAAAGAAATATTTAAGAACTTTTAAAAGGACTATGGAGTTCAAGAAAAGAAAAACATCAGGCTAACTGTTCATTCATTCATTCAATCTTAATGCCCCCTATTTTACCAGGCTCTATGTTACGCTTCAGGGGTAGAGCAGTATCCTACTTCCACAGAACACTCTGGTGGCAGGACAGTGTTACACCAAAACAAGTAAGCAAGAACATTTTGGACAGCAATTATCCAGTGCTGTGGATAAAATAAAAGAGGGAAATGTGATAGTGGCTAGGCTGAAAGCACTTTCAATGAGATGATGAGGAAAAGCCTCTTAAAGGAGGTGCCATTCTCTTTAAGGAAATGACAAGCAGTCAATTTTAGTGTAAACATCCAGTGGATGCATCGCAAGGAGGTTGGCACCTGTGAGAAAAGAAAAAAGAAAATCAGGTACAGCTGGAGTGCAGCTAAGTAAGATGGGAAGTAGGACGTGAGGTCAGAGAGATAAGGGCTGAATCCTAGAGAGACTTCCAAGCCACAGCAAGGTGTCAAGATTTCATTCTAAGCGCAATGGAAAACCACCAAAGGATTTTAAGCAGCGGAATGGTATGATCTCACTTCAATTTTTAAAGATCACTCTGGTTACTATATGAAGAACAGATAAGGAGGCAAGAATAAAAAGAGAGACCAGGTTGGAGGCAACTGCAAAAGTCCAAGCTATATAAGATAGTGGCAAGAGGCTTCCCTGGTGGCACGGTGGTTGAGAGTCCGCCTGCTGATGCAGGGGACAAGGGTTCGTGCCCCGGTCCAGGAGGATCCCACATGCCGCAGAGCGGCTGCGTCTGTGAGCCATGGCCACTGAGCCTGCACATCCAGAGTCTGTGCTCCGCAACGGGAGAGGCCACAACAGTGAGAGGCCCACGTACCGCAAAAAAAAGATAGTGGCAGGACTTCCCTGGTGGTCCAGTGGTTAAGACTTCGCCTTCCAATGCAGGGGGTGTGGGTTCAGTCCCTGGTCGCGGACCTAAAATCCCACATGCCTCCTGGCCAATACACCAAAATATAAAACAGAAGCAATATTGTAACAAATTCAATAAAGACTTAAAAAAAAAAAGGTCCACATCAAAAAAAAAAAAAAATACGGTGGCTTAGATTGAAAGGTGGCAGTGAGGACCACTGAGGGTACATAAATTTGAGCTGTATGCTGACGGAAAGGATGTGGGATAGAAAGGAAATGAAAAAACAGGATGATTTCCAGATGTCTGGACTGAGGGTGATATTGTTGCCATTTGCTGAGAAGCAAAAGACTTGGGGGAAGAACAAGTTTTCAAGGTAGAGGACGGAACAGGTAGGAAGGAAGAGTTCTGTTTTGGACATGTGAAGCATGAGGTACCTGTGAGACAGGCAAATGAAGATGTGAAGTAGGCATGGGGCTCAGAGAAGAGGTCAGGGCTAGAAAAATAAATGTGGGCATCATTAGCATTTAGCTGGTATCTAAAGCCTAGGACTAGATGAGATCACCCAAGGAAACAATGTGGGTGGAGAGAAGAAGGGGGCTGAGGGCTGAGCCTTGAACATGCCAACATTCAGAGACCAGGCCCAGAAGAAAGAATCAGCAAAGAAATAAGAGGTGGACAATGAGGTAAGAGGAAAACCAAGCATGATTTCCTCAAGGCCAAGTGAAGAAAGTGTTCCAAGGAGGTGGGAACTGAGGACTGTATCAAACACTGCTGAGAGGTCAAGTAAGAAGAGCAATGAGAATTGACCACTGGATTTAGCAACATGGAGTCACTGGAGACCTTGAAAGAACAGCTTTCAGTGGAGTGATGGGAACAGACACCATATTACAGTGACTAGAAGGCAGTGAGAAATGGAAACAAACTATAAACAACACCAAGAATTTATACCAGACAGGGAACAGAGAAACTATAATAGCTGAGGGTATACATGTTTTGAAGATGGGAAATGCTCAAGTGTGAAGAGAAGAATAAAGATGGAAAATTTGATGGTGCAGAAGACAGAAGAGAGAATTTTAAGTGAAATGCTTAGAGAGAAGGGGAACCAGCGACCAAGGGGAGAGCATGGACATGATCAAGGATGCTTCATTTGCAATAACAAAATGGAAGGCAGAGAACATGGGGAGTAAATTTGTAAATGTAAAGATGTGGGAAGTCTCGTCGGATTTAGCAGTAATGTATGAAACAAGATCAGTTGTTAGAAAAATGAGAGAATAGAGGGGTGGAGGGTGGAGTCTACTGGCGTTTCAGTCATTTCTCCAGTGATGGTAACAGCCACAGAGTCATCATTTTACACTGACTGTGCCCGACGATACCAGTAAGAGATCTAGTTGGGATTAAACGGGTACCTACAACCGTAAGATTTTTCTCTGTACTAGCTGCCTCATACAAGGATCAATCGTAACCTCATTGATAATGAAATGACTTATCTGTCCTAACACTATTACATAGAAAATACATTTATTTTCTCAGCAAAACTTCATTGAGGAATTTCCAGGTGAACATGGCAGATCTCTGTGAAAGCCTACTAAAATGACAGCAAAGAAATGAAAAAGATGTACACCCACAAAGACAAAGAGATTGCGAGAGGAAAGAGTAGATAAGAATTGCAACAAAATGTTGAAAGCTGGAAAGCTGATGACAGTGAAGAGAATGGGAGGTAAGCTGCCTTCCTGAAAACAGACGGATTGAGGAAAAGTCCACATATGGAATGATATGCTCCTCCCTTGCCCTTTCCCCACTCAACTCTCAAACTACCTAGCTTGCACCACCTGTGAAATCCCCAACTCTTCTGACCAAGGAGAATGAAGAACTTTCTAGAAAAACTCATCCCAAAGAAAAGACATACAGCTACTGAAATATGGGATCTGGCTAACAAAATGGCAAGGTCCTCTCCTCAGTCACTAAATTGTGAAGCCCACCAGCTGGCAATCCCACCTCACATAAAGAAACTTCAATCAGCTTTTCCGTACCTCACTTTTAAATATAAATGCATAGCTGTAAATCACCAGATACTTAAATAAGGCTCCAAAACTATAAATGGAGACCAAAATCAATAAAAGGAAAAGGAACTCAGGAAAAATGAACATAATTCAAGAGCAGAAGAAAACTAAGAATAAAACTGTAGTTAATATTTTCAGTAGCATAAGACACACAAAGGCAAGAAGACATAAAAAAGGAGCACTCAAAGAAAAAGAAATGGGTCTCACAAATTAAAAATATGATGATGGGGGAAATTCCCTGGCAGTTCAGTGGTTAGAACTCCACACTTTCACTGTCGAGGGCTTGGTTCAATCCCTGGTCAGGGAACTAGAATCTCACAAGCTGCACAGTTCCCCACACCCCACCCCACACCCCCAAAAAACAAGTGATGACAGGAAAAACAATAGAAGAGTTAGAATTTTCTCAAAAAGTACAACAAAAAAAAGCAAACAGAAGAAAACAATAAAGGAAAGATATGAAGATAAGGCAAATAATTCTGGCATTCAAACTTCTAATAGGCTTTCCAAGAAAAGAGAACAGAAGGAAAGAATAGGAGAAAATTATCAGAGAAATGTCATAAGAAATTTCCAAAAATAAAGGACATAAAACTCTAAACTGATTGAGTTCAATCAATAAGTGAACTCAGCATAAGGAACTTAAAAAGAAGTAAATGCTCAGCACAAGAAACTTAAAAAGAAATCTCCAGGGCACATCACCATGAAATTTAAGAACACCAGGACCAAAGAAAAGATCTTAAATGCTTCAAGAATGAAGAAACAGGGGCTTCCCTGGTGGCACAGTGGTCAAGAGTCCGCCTGCTGATGCAGGGGACACGGGTTCGTGCCCCAGTCTGGGAATATCCCACACGCTGCGGAGCAGCTGGGCCCATAAGCCATGGCCACTGAGCCTGTGCGTCCAGAGTCTGTGCTCCGCAATGGGAGAGGCCACAACAGTGAGAGGCCTGCATACCGCAAGAAAAAAAAAAAAAATGAAGAAACAGGTTTCATACATGGCATCAGGAATCAAAACGACATTAACCTCTCAACAAGAACACTAGAAACCGATGGAAAAATGTCTTCAAAATTCTGAGGAAAAATGATTTTCTGTCAATTATATACCCAGCCAAACTAGCAATTAAGTGTGAGAATAAAAGAAAAAGAAATTCAGATATACAAGGTCTTAAATCTACCTTTCATGCACTCCTCAGGAAGCTGCAGGAAGAAGATATGACACCCAGGAAATGGGTGATGTGACACAGGACAAAGAGAATGCCCATGATGACGAAGGAAATTCTTAGGATGACAATGTAGGAAGTTTAGAGCAACAGGTGAGATTAGAACAGGACAGAGGGCTCCGTGAGGGGATTTCCAGGGTGGGGGGGATTCAAGGAGGCAATTATTAACTTCAATAAAAAATAAAATTAGTAACAAACAAAATGCAGTCATAGTATATGAAATGGCTTACCTGTGAATGTTTACTGTTATAGTAAGGATATAAATTCTGAACACGGATTTAAGGAAAGACTGTGACTTAACCATATCGGGAAGATGTAATAAGAAGTGTGTGTGCATGTGTGTTAGGGGGTAGAATGTCTAAGAGAACGTATTCCAGATTTTTAACAATTGCAAGTAAATATAACTAAAATATCAAGAAATAGCAAAAATAGTACGTTGTTTCAAAAATATGGAGATAGGACACTAGAACAAAGAGTCACAAAAAACTGAAAATGATTCTCGAGGGGTATTTGGGGTAAAGAGGAATCAGAGAAGACTTATATATGTTTACTTTGATAAATATAATAATTTCTTTAAACACCATTGATAAAATTTGGGTTCATTTCTCAAATTATGACAACATACCTTTCAATAGCACGTAGCTTAACCTTATTCACATCCTTCAGAACATCCAACATGTTTGGAACATCTTTATGGTTTTTTGAATGATGACTAAAATTGGTTTTCCTAGTATCTGGGTGCTGTTTTTTCACTTCAGTTGCTGAATTATCTGATGCACAAATATTATTAGAGGCTGTTTGCACGAGAGGAGAACATGGAGGCCGTAGAGAAGAAACCTGAGGAGGCGGTGGTGGAGGAGGAGGAGAGGGAAACACTGAACTTGAAAACGAATCTGGTTCGACACTCAGTTGAGTAGTCCCTGATGATGGCATGTGTCCCAAACCACTAGGCCTGTCGTTCTTCAAGTCCAAGGAGCCTAAAGAAAATGTGGTCTGTTGAAAAACCATGCAAAATTTTCTCCAATATAACACGTAACACTAATTAGAATCAAAACAGGAACAATTCTGTAATGCTACTAAAATAATGATACTGTGGCCAGGAAGGTGAAGCAATCCCATCTGCTTAGTAATTTCTGAAAGAGTCAAGCAAACAGTAAATTCATTTTTAATCCAATTAGGATTCTCTGTGTAGGGGAAGGGGGAGAATGCATTTTAAAGAGAAAATTAAAAGTGCTTTTTTTCACATACAATCTGAATTTCATCCTCTATTTACAAAAGCTAAAACACGATCAACAACTTGTGGCTAGAAACATGCAAACTGATATATTCACTCTAATGATGACATTGTAGAAACACCCAGGCATATATTTTCTAGGCAGGAACCTACGACGGGTACCAAATACTTAACTTTTTCACAACAGATTTGCTCCTAAAATCATGTGTAACACGACTGCTTTAAAAAAAGTGTATATATCATACCTCATTTATTACCCAGTAGTATATATAATATTTAATATAAATTATAAATATACAATACTATATAAGTATTATGTTATACACAAATTATATATGTGTTTATATGGATGTTTTTATATACATACAGATAGTGTGTGTGTATGTATATTATTTAAAGCAAGTCACATCTCTAAAAATTTTAAAAAGAATCATCTGGAAAACAGTATTCACCTAGATTTGGTGGAAGTATAGCAGCAATAACTTCAAACTACAAATATATATATATGAAGCCTCAAATCTATACTCTTGTCTCAAATTAATGCATCCCTCCGCTTAAATGTCCAACACTTTTCTACGGAGTTAGAAAAGCTTACAGTCAGCCCTCCATATCCTCAGGCTCTACATATGCAGATTCAACCAACCGCAGATCAAAAATATGAATTAAAAAAAAAAAAAAACTCCAGAAAAGTTCCAAAAAGCAAAACTTGATCCTCCATGCACTGACAACCATTTACAAAGCATTTCCATTATATTTATAACTACTTGCATTTTATTAGGTATTATAAGTAATCTAGAGATGATTTAAAGTATATGGGAGGATGGACGATGTGTATAGGTTATATGTAAATATGCCATTTTATATAAGGGACTTAAGCATCCTAAGATTTTGGTGTCCACAGGGGTCCTAGAACCAACACCCCACGGATGCCAAGGGACAACTGTACTTAGAAAACAGGCTTTTAAATACAAAACTACAATCTTCGGCAGCATAGCTAGCTCTTCTTTAAACCAAAGCCATCCCTGTCACTACAAATGCATCTTAATTTATTCTCAATAAACATCAGAGGTAACACATATATACACCCAACATCGTTTCATATTTAATGTCATTCATAAGATACATTAGCAGCAAACATTCTTTTCTTACTCAGAACCACACTGACTGAAATACTAAATGAGTATCATCCAACTGAAATAAAAATCCAGCGTTACTCACCAGAATTTGTACTGTTTCTCAGTTCTTGCCTTCCCACAATTGCAGCAATCTGAGAGCGAAGAAAAGCTAGCTCATCTTCAAGGGCAGCTATTTTTTTAATTGCAGCTTCACTTTCAGGCCAATCACTTTTTGTTGGTTTGTTATGCCTTAGAGCAGGTGTCAATGGATCTTCAACTAGTTGCAAAGGATGGAAAGAAGCAGTTTTCTCCCCTTCTTCATTTTTCCATATACTATTTCTGTAGGTGGAAGGAAAAAATGGAAAGAGAGAGAGAAGGAGGAAGAAAAATTTTCTAGAAATAAATTCTTTCAGTTAAAGAATAAAGATACCAAAACAAAACCAGAATAGCTCTCTTTACCCTATAATGGTCTCTAGACTCACTGAGGACAAACAACATCTTATGTAACTTTATATTCTCAGTACCCAGAACAAATGCTGACTTTAATAGGTGACCAATAAGCGGTCAGTGAATGAAGGAACACATCTTGCTTTCAGACTGTAAACCAAAAATAATGATCCTATTAACTTCAAACACAGTACAAATTGATTTATTTAGAAATAAAGTTAATTTATTTAGAAATTCTACATATTCGGAATATAAGGTCCTACAGGATTCCTTGTTATGTTGGGGTAAGTTTACCGTATTCTAATTTTTTGAAAATTTATAAACCAATTTGATATAGAATAAATTTAGCCAGTTTTTCTGAATAACTGACCGTTTTGTACTTCAGCCTGTATCTGAATACACTAACAGCTAAGTTAGTATTACCAAGCAGTAAAACATCCAAATGTTGAAATATATTTAACATCATTGCCTGGTAAACAGTAAACACTATATAAGTTTTGGCTAAATATATAAAATAAATATAGTATTTAGTATAGGAAAGAGCTTTCTCCAAAAATGAACATGGTGATTTTTATATCCTTTTAATATCATTCCTTCCTAGGCCTGGGGTGAGGATTAAATGTGCATTAAGAAAGACTAGCTAGGGGCTTCCCTGGCGGCACAGTGGTTAAGAATCTGCCTGCCAGTGCAGGGGACGTGGGTTTGAACACTGGTCTGAGAAGATCCCACATGCCGCGGAGCAACTAAGCCCGTGCGCCACAACTACCAAGTCTGCACTCTAGAGCCCATGAGCCACAACTACTGAGCCCACACACCACATCTACTGAAGCCCACATACTCTAGAGCCCGTGCTCCACAACAAGAGAAGCCACTGCAATGAGAAGCCCTCACACCACAACGAAGAGTAGTCCCAGCTCATCGCAACTAGAGAAATCCCGCACACAGCAACGAAGACCCAACACAGCCAAAAATAATAAATAAAAATAAAATACATTAAAAAAAAAGAAAAAACTGGCTAAAAATGAGAAAACACCAGTCATCCCTATTAGGAAGACATTAGCAGGACACAGCGCAGTACAGAGGTAGACAAATAAAAAGGCTCAATCAGTCTGAACATACTTCACCATGTGGAAGAATTCAGATTATAGCCCACACCCCACTTTCCAAGATAAGTAGAAAAATTACCGAAATCTGAGATAACTGGCTTCTTCATCATTCGTCACATACAAAACGTCAGCAAAAGATGGAACTACAGATCCACAGTTAGCTGGGTCCACAGAGTTCAAGAGTGGGATCAGCTAAAGGAAAAAAGAAAGTCAGGGAGTCGGGGAAAGACACATGCCCGTGGAAACTATTTGTGTAAATTAAAAATCCACAAGAGTGAAAAGGAAAAAGGATATGCAATAGAAAAACATACACCTATTAGCGAGAAAAAAAACTGAGGAAAGTAATTATTCTAAAGTCTACACATGTGGCAATATTCTCTCCCTTAGTGAATGTCATCCAACATAAAACACAAACTAGAAGAATAAAATAAGCTACTCAGGGGTTGCTTCGCATCTGCCAATCTTTGGATATAATTACTTAAAAAAATAAAGACAAAGACACACGTGAAATGACTTGTTTCCAGGATAAACTAAAGGTTTTTTGGCTTGCAGGAAACATTTCTTCTTTTGTTCTACCCTATGTCCCTAGGAGTACCTGGGATAATTTTACACATGGTACTTAAACAATGCATGTTGACTGACTTACCTCAAAATTAGGCCTGGGACAAGGTTCTAAAGGAAGAATTTTCCCAATAATACGAACAATACTCCGAGCTGATCCATAGTCTTTATTTTCCCAAATCTGCAAAACCTATTTAAACATAAAGCATTGTTTAAAAAGTAGTACCCTATTGAGCATGTTTATATTGATATTATTTATGGAAAAAATGTAAAATATGCAATAACATTTATTTTTAAAAAGAAAATATAGAATGGCATACTTCTAAAGTATTTTCTTCAAAGAATTAAACTTTATTCATATCTGTCTTTAAAAACGTGGGAAGCAGGGGGATGGGAGTTAACATATACAGATTCCAGGAAGAAAGATCTTTTGAGAAAGCACCACAAATTCATTCTGTTTTATTTCTGATAATGGCCAAATATCTTGGGGAACTTTATTCAGAAAAATTGTCTCCCCTCCTCCCAGCTAAAAATTCCATCTTTGGGCCCAATGAAAAATGGACAATTTCAATTTTTCAAGCAGTGAAGTAATACAGAGTATATTCATGTAATTTCCTTTAAAGGAGGAATAAAAAGGGGAATAAATGAAGCAGGCCCTAAACAGTTTAAGGATGCTTTACTTACTGTTGTACTGGCACAAAGAGACATATAGATCAATGGAGCACAACAGAGAGCCCAGAAACAAACCCACGCATGTGCAGTCAATTAATCTACGACAAAGGAGGCAAGAATACACGATGGAGAAAAGCAAGTGGTGTTGGGAAAGCTGCACAGTTACATGAAAATCAATGAAGTTAGAACACTCCCTCACACCATACGCAAAAATAAACTCAAAATGGTTTGAAGACCTAAATGTAAGACATGACACCATAAAACTAGAAGAGAACATAGGCAAAACATTCTCAGACATAAATTGTAGCAATATTTCCTTAAATCAGTCTCCTAAGGCAAAAGAAATAAAAGCAAATATAAACAAATGGGACCTAATTAAACTTAAACGCTTTTGCACAGCAAAGGAAACCATCAATAAAATGAAAAAACCTACAGAATAGGAGAGAGTATCTGCAAACTACGCAACTGACAAATGGATAATCTCCAAAATATACAAACAGCTCATACAACTCAATATCAAAATAACAAACAATCCAATCAAAAAATGGGCAGAAGACCTAAATAGACATTTCTGCAAAGACATACAGATGGCCACCAGGTACAAGAAAAGATGCTCAACAGCCCTAACTATTAGGGAAATGCAAATCAAAACAACGAGGTATCACCTCATGTGGGTCAGAATGACTATCATCAAAAAGTCCACAAATAATAAATACTGAAGAGGGTGTGGGGAAAAGGGAACCCTCCTACACTGATGGTGGGAATGTAAATTGGTGCAGCCACTATGGAGTGGCTGCACTCCACAAGTGCAGTTATCATATGATCCAGCAATATCCCACTCCTGGGGAAAACTCTAATTCAAAAAGATACATGCACCCCCAATGCCCACAGCAGCACTATTTACAATAGTCAAGACATGGAAACAACCCAAGTGCCCATCAACAGATGACTGGTTGAAGATGATGTGGCAGATATAGATATAGATGTAGATATACATACATACATACACACAATGGAATATTACTCAGCCATAAAAAAGAATAAAATATTGCCATTTGCAGCAACATGGATGGACCTAGAGAATATCATACTATGTGAAATAAGTCAGACAGAGAAAGACAAATATTATCACTTATATGGGGACTCTAAATAATACTACAAATGAATCTATAAACAAAACAGAGAAACAGACTCACAGACGTAGAAAACAAACTTATGGCTGCCAAAGGGGAAAGGGAAGGGGAGGTTATATTAGGAGTATGAGACTAACAGATACAAACTACTGTGTGTAAGATAGAAAAGCAACAAGAATCTACTGCATAGCACAGGGAACTATATCAGTATCTTGTAATAACCTATAATGGACAATAATCTGAAATATTATATAACTGATCACTTTGCTGTACAGCTAAAACTACACAATAGTGTAAATCAGCTATATTTCAATTTTTAAAAAGAGAAAAAAAAGAATGCTTTACTTACAGTGGAATACATTTTCTAGTAGTCAGTTCTTAAGATAACAGAAATGAAATGTGCTTCTATAACTCAAATAATAACTTTGTTCTTTAGCTTGGAGTTTCCCCTATTAGTGTAAACTATTCCCACAGGAAACCTCCCCCTAAATATGACATAACGTTTGTTCTTTTGGAAGTGATTTCAACACAAAGGAGGCATTTTCTCTCTTCAAAAAGCATTAAAAATTGGACTTTTCATTTTTCCTGAGATCCCATAAGGAAAACGAAGTTTATTATAAGCCACAGATACAGAGGTAGCATCCTATCAGCATCCTCATGGAAACATCCAGTAAGCAGATGGATACACAGTTCTAGAACTTAGGAGACAATCTGCATTAGAAAGATGGATTTGGGAATCATCAGCATACAGAATACATGACAGGTAAAAATCGAAGCCATAGGACTAGTTGAGAAAAACTGGGGCTAGAGAGAATGATTTGAAAGTCATCAGCTCATAGAATCTTCTGCACAAAGTCATGCCATTCCTCTGCTTTTAAATGGCAAGGGTTCTGAATTTATCTGATCATATCCAAGCACCCGGCTCTAACCATTAAATACTGATTCCATCAGGCAGCCTCACAACCTTCCATCAATTCTGCCAGCTCAGTTGCCATAACATACTCCATGAATTGCGTATTCATTCTCCAATCACTCTCAAAGGTCCTCTGCCACTTGGCCCTATTCTATCTATCCAACTTAATTTCCCACTATCCATTAACAAGAACACATGCTCTTTTGGGTTAAGCAGTTTTCCTTCAGATTGATGGCCTCTCTCAATTTCTTTTCACAAACTTTTCAAAAGAAGGATGCTGATGCCACTTCCCTTCCTCAATCATTCTTCAAACTACTACAGTTCAGCTGCCACTCTCCACCTACAGAAATCCCTAAAGGCATCAATAATCTACTGATAAGCAAATCTTCAACAATCACTCAGTCTTTGTTGTCTTTAAATCTCTCCAATTCTGAAATTCAAAATGCTTCAATAACATCCAGTGACATCCTCCATTACATGTCATCAAAGTCAAATATCAAAAGAATGTCGATCACTCCAAATCTGAATCTCTTTTCTTTCCTACATTCCAGAACCATATACCCAATTATCTGCAGGACCTTTGTATTTATATATTCCAACAGCACATATGACTTATCTCCCTACTCAAAGTAGTTTCACGTATGGAATTGTCCATTTATATTAATGGCTCCATCATTTTTCAACTTTTGTTTAAAACATTTTAATTATCCTTGTCTATTCTAATTCACAACACCAAACAGCAACAATTTGCCCATTTTCTGTAAGCCCCCCTATTATTTTTGTGTCTCTCTTATATTCAGTCCTGTATTACAGTTATCTCTATATGTTTCTTATATCTCATATTATATTTTAAGCATCATGAATACAAGAACCATGTACTGCTACTCTGCATCACCTACAGAAACAAGCATATTGTGTTAGATGTCATAGCTACTCAGTAAGTAGACAAAATTTGATTTGCTTATGCTTCTCGCACCTAAGCCAACCTCTCTCCTTAATATTTATTCTGAATTTGCTGAGCTATAACTTGCCATTCTATATCCAAGTATCAAACTTAAATTACCTTAAATAAAGCCACTAGATATTTTTAAAATATTTTATCTATGAAGGTCATGTCTATCTTTTGCTTCGGTTGTATCTTTCGTTGGCATTTGACCTATCAAATAAATGGGTTCCTGATAATCTTATCCCTTTTTTAACTCAAACTATCAAAGCTATACTAAAGGAAACTCGCCTTTGTTACACCTATAGAGAAGTAACAATTTTGCCTTGAGTGTTGACATATAAATCATTTCTAAAATAAGACCTCAAACAAATACAACAGGTTCATTCAAATCCATTAAAAGATATTTACCTGGTTTACAGGAACACCAAAATATTCCAGCATCTCTCTTAAGATACTCAATATGAATGACATTGATGAGGCAAATACAGAAGCAAATTTAAGGAAACATTGTTTCTTGATACCTTAAGGGAAAAAAAATTAGAAAACATTATTCTTGATAAATAACTGCCGCACAAAATTGTATTAAATAATTGGAAAACTCCTTTGGTTACACATTACACCATCAACTAATCTCTCTGGCCAGCATTATTTTAATGAGAGGAGAGAAAAAGAGGAACGGGGGAATGGGGAAGGGTTGGTAAAAGAAACTTCAATTTATCAGTTAAGTTGCATTAAAAATTCATAGGATTTTTTTGAGCCTCTGAAGGGACCTGGTTAATAAATATCAATCAGCGAAATTGGAAACTTAGCAGGGAAGCCTTCAAGTTAGTTGCAACAGCGATGCGCCCTCTCTCCGAATGCTTTGGGCTGAGACTCTTGGAAGGGATGAGTTCAACCCATCCTTGAAAGCAGTCAGGGGGCCGACTCAAGGCTTTGGCAAAAGGAACGGTAGCTCTTCCTCACTAACGTATCGGAGTACCACCCATCTCCTTGCTTATTTTCAAGAACATGAACCCCAGATAGGCGACGTGACTTAGTCACCTAACTACTAAATAACAGGCCGAGACTAGCGCCCAGTCACATCACTCGCTTTGGCCCCAAGCTCCCTCGGCGTCTCTCCTAACCCAGCATGGTCGCCTGGCTTACCTTCCTCCGAAGCCCAGCCTCTCGGCAATCACGGGAACTTCAAGCAGTCGTTAAGGAACCTTGCCGCGGAATCCGCAGAGGACTAGGCCCGGCGTGCACTCGTCCTGGTCCAGGAGCGCTCAGACGTCCACACGTGTCCGCCCGTGCGCCTCGGCTTGCCTGCCACGGGCGGTGACGACGCCTCCACTGGCCCAGGGCTTGGCCTTGTAGCCCCTCTCTCGGCCGGGGTAACTCAGCTGGAAGCGCGGCCCTCCGCCCGTGCGCCACCGAACCTGTCCCTTGCCTCCACAATGGGCTCACCATTTCCGGGTCCCGCGACTAAACTTAAACTCCGCGGGCCATGACCCGTGCCCGACCTCATTGGACAAGGCTGAAGATCGTTGCTTGTGACTGGTTACGTAATGACGTCAGGTTATTTACGGTTATTTAGACTGGCTACTGAGTGTCTTCCTCCTTCAAGAGGGCGGGCCTTCAGCGAGGCAGCCAATAGAAGCCTAGAGGCACAGGTGGGCGGGGCAGGCAGCGCAGGGACGATGACGCATGCTCAAGACTCGCCTTTGGGTTTCCCGGGTGCTCCCATAATGCCGGTGTCTACAGCCCAGAGTATGGAGCCATTATGGCCCTTGGATCAGGCCCACGGTCCGGAGTTCGTGCCCCACACAGATCTTCGCAGGGAAAGTGTGTCATCCTCTACATACAGACCCGAAGTGGGGCCGCTCTCCCAAGTCCGCTTGCCGTGGAATGTCGCGATTTGTTTAATAATTCATTCGTCTATTCAGCAAACATCTATTTTATGCTTATGCGACTAGCAGATGCTAAACGCTGTCATCGAGGAATCTGCAGCATTGCAGTACTTACAATGTTCGTTCATGAAACGCTCCAGGTTATCCAGGCTGCCAATGCTGATCTGGCCTAGCCTACGATGGTAAAGTGACCACCAAGTCCTCCAGGTGATATCCCAATTTTCAATTCTGATCTGAGGTTACTGGCTTCATAAGAAACAACAGCTACTGGGCTTCCGTGGTGGCGCAGTGGTTAAGAATCCGCCTGCCAACACAGGAGACACGGGTTCGGTCCCACATGCCGCAGAGCAGCTAAGCCCGTATGCCACAACTACTGAGCCCACGTGCCACAACTACTGAAGCCTATGCGCCTAGAGCCTATGCTCTGCAACAAGCCACAGCAATAAGCCCACGCACCACAACGAAGAGTAGCCCCCACTAGCCGCAACTAGAGAAAATCCCACGTGCAGCAACGAAAACCCAATGCAGCCAAGAATAAATAATTTTTAAAAAAAAGCAGCTACTGCTTCTAGCATTTCAGTGAGAAATGCATTGGAGTGACATATAATTTAGGATCAACTGTGTCTGCTGCTGAGCAACACTGTCAAAAACTGGGAGAATTGGGGCTTCCCTGGTGGCGCAGTGGCTGAGAGTCCGCCTGCCGATGCAGGGGACACGGGTTCGTGCCCCGGTCTGGAAAGATCCCACATGCCTTGGAGCGGCTGGGCCCCTGAGCCATGTCCGCGGAGCCTGTGCTCCGCACCGGGAGAGGCCACAACAGTGAGAGGCCTGCGTACAGCAAAAAAAAAAAAAAAAAAAAAAAGGGAGAATTTTTCAACTGATTTCTGTGTGTCCATAACATTTATTCATTAAACTAACATTGAATGTACTATGTCCCAGGCATCATTCTAAAGCACAGGGAATGTAATGAGCAAGGCAGCTGAGGTCCTTGCCCTCCTGGAGCTTACATTCTAGTAGAAACCTCAGAGACGATTCCTCTGAGCAATATATATAAAGAGCATCTCTCTCCACGATTTATTTTTCCTTATAGCACTTATACCGTGTATATTTATGCTCCACCTACTGCCAAACAAAACTCCAGAATAGGAAATTTGTTTTGACCCATGCTGTATCTCCAGCGCTTTAGAAGACTGCCTGGTATATTTGATGGGCGTTCAATAAAATGGTTGGATAAATTATTTCAGTATTTGTTGAATAAAATAATTGGATATGGGATGAGAGAAAACAGACACCAAGAATGACTTGAAACGAAGAAACCAGCAGAACAACAGTGATTATAGTGACAGGCCCAGTAGTCTAGGCTAGATAAGGATTAAAGGAGCAGGAGAGGGGTGCTGGACAAATGTAAAAGAATGCAAATGGATCAGCGACCCTACATAGCATTTTCTCAAGTTCCTTGTCCTTCCCTTTTGCCTTCATAAATAATGATCTTATAACCTCCTCCCTTTCCAATCCGATATCAAACAGCACACAATAGGTGCAAAAGGAGAATATCCCTTGAGAGCATGAGAAGGGAAACCAGTGGTACTAAAGCCTCCTTCAGGGTGCATTATTATTATTATTAGTGTGTGTGTGTGTGTGTGCCCGTGTGTGGTATGCGGGCCTCTCACTGTTGTGGCCTCTCCCGTTGCGGAGCACAGGCTCCGGACGCGCAGGCTCAGCGGCCATGGCCCACGGGCCCAGCCGTTCCTGGACCGGGGCACGAACCCGTGTCCCCTGCATCAGCAGGCGGATTCTCAACCACTGCGCCACCAGGGAAGCCCCAGGGTGCATTATTAATAGAGCTCAATATTCAACTTTGATTTAGGTAACAACACGGTGGGCCCAGGTCAAATGCTACATCTCCATGAATGCTTTGCTGACAATTTCCCTCTAAAATTAATTCTCCAGTGATCCTTCCTCCATTTTGTTTACTAAAGCATTCATACATACCACATCTTGACAACCTTTTACGAGATTTGACATTAATATTTTTCTATTACTTTTAAGTGAAATTACTTTCGTGAACTTTTAGAATGATGCAGAATTTCAGTAAATCTTTTCTACCTTTTCTGTCATTTTTGAGTAGTGTTCAAATATTTGATGGCATGCTTTCTAAGATTTTCCTGGCTGTGTTCCCCTCCCACAGTTGAATCTAGGCCCTCTCAATCCACCGTGTCTACCCTGCGAATTAGGATTCCACTTTCAGTTCTTTCTCCTCAGTGTGGGGTCCCGTCCTTAAAAGGAGTCTTGCCTTGACAGGTCCATTTTGAGAGTTCACTGAGGTAAAGTATTCCAGTCTCTCTAATCCTTACTGTGGGTACCTTGTGCTCACTATTGGAGAGGAAAAACTCTGTTTTAGTAGGCTCACTTGAGATTCTCCTTTTCAAGCCTGTCAGATGCTACCCCAATTCTTAACTTCTACTCACGTAGAAATCAGTACCAGGCAGGTTGGTGTTTTGTCCCCATCCCGATATTTGTGGGTTCGTGGGAAAAGCTTGTAACCTAGTTTAATTGTAAATGCTGTCCAAAAATAACTGGTTTTGTTATCTAGATGTATTGTTTCCATTTTCCCAGAACCGTTAATAATACATTATAGTTAATCATCACACTATGTACTGGATCCCCGAGACCAATAATTTATTCAACTTTACAGCCAATGCTAGGCATACTTTCCCAGTGAACAAATGGAGGCTGAGGGCTGGCTTGAACAGAGGCTAGAAAGATGTGTACTCAATCTTGCCAACTGCCAGTTGAAACCCCATTAGCCTCTGACACAAGGCTAAGTTTTAGGTGATTAGGAGTACTCGAATTACTATAATTATCTTAATGGGGCAGGATACAATGTAACATTCTAACAAGTAGGCAATAGCCTCTCCAACCTTAACCATAGGATGTCATGAAAAGGTGATATCCAGATTGGGATGCACATGCCCAGCCCAGAAAGTTCACTTAGTTTTACATTTCAAAAAAAATACTTAGGGCCTTTTTCCTTCTGTTCTGCTACCTATGCTTGAAACCTCTCAGGGGCAGTAGTAATGCAGTACACTTAAACCAACCAGCACTATTTAAAAAATTACATACTTCTTAAAGGTTCATTAAAACTTTACAATTGTTTATTCAAAACTTTTAAGTATTAGTTGACATTAATTAGGACCAAGATTTTCCTTGATATTAAAATCATGTTTCAAACTAAACTGTCCTGAAAATCTCTACTTTTTGTATTGACAATAAAAATGACTAAGTAACGTAAAACACAGTTGAGAACTACTACCTATGTATCTATACCTACTATATATCTATAAATTGCTATTTACTTGTGATATATTAAAATTACAAAATCTAAGTTAAATAAGTCTAAATGCAGGAATTATTTTATTTGAACCTTTAAATAACATATAAAAGCCTAGGTTATTGCAGTGTTTGAATCCAAAGGTCTTATGTGTTTATTGGCTACTTATACTATTTTTGAACAAAAATATTTAGACCTCTCTAAAAGCATAAAGGTGAATGGCAGCTTGATTTTTCTGGTTCCATTAGTTTTAGAAAATCCATATGACTTAACAGATTCTATACTGTTTTCTGATACAATCGTATGTCCACAAAGAGATATGCCTTGACTTTCTCAAACACTTAAAAAGAGTTGATTAAAACCTAGAACACAGAAAACATAGTTAAAGGATGTCCTGGTTTTACTCTGCTTCTGGATCATCCAGACAGTCCAGTTAAACATCTTTACTCCTAATACTTCCATTTAGTCCTTTTCATTTTTTAGCAATAATCAACTCATAATTTTCAAAACTCTCATGGTCTGAGTAACAGGAAAAAAAAAAACTCTACTTCATAAAAATTCCGAATAACTTATATTGTCTTACAGTAGCAAATAATTTGCTACTGTAAGACAGTCATCAAAAAATTTAGCATATTTCAAAAAAGAATATGGCGTAAGTCTTAAATATTGAAGTTCATTCCTATCACATTGAAAACTGTAGCAATAATACAGCATTTCTTTTTAATTATCACAGGTAATTTCAGTTGATAACACACAGTTTAATAAAGCAAGCACCTGAGAGTAAAATGTAGTTAAGTAGTTCAGATAGCTAGAAAAAAGTTCAGCTTCAGGTAGCCCAGTATTCCTGCTAGGGAGATATCCAGATTCTCCATACTTCTATAAGCAGAAAACTATGATATTCACAAGCTGCCTACTCCTTTAATTTTACTTTTGATTGAAGTATAGTTGACTTACAATGTTGTATTTATTTCAGGTATACAGAAAAATAATTTATATTCTTTTCCCTTATAGGTTATTATAAAATATTGAGCATACTTCCCTGTGCTACAGTTAGGTCCTTGTTGGTTATCTATTTTGTATAATGTGTATCTGCTAATCTCAAACTCCTAATTTATCCCTCCCCCACCCTTTCCCCTTTGGTAACCATAAATTTGTTTTCTATGTCTGTGGGTCTATTTGTGTATTTAAGTTCATTTGTATTTTTTTTTAAGATTCTACATATAAGCAATATCATATGATTCCTAGGTCCATCCATGTTGCTGCAAATGGCATTATTTCATTTT